ATGAGGTCCCTCGACCGAAGACCTTGGCAAACTACAACCGTCCAGACCAATACTACGCCAACATGTCACCTATTCGTCTTCCCGGCGTCCAGAGGAAAATTTCGACATCAGTATGATAAGTTATTATTTATGTTCTCAAAGTTTTTTAATCAGACATCAAATCATTTATACGTACAAATTTTTGATCAAAATGTATATGTTTATTATTGTATTAAAAACACTCAAATATTAGAAATAATTTAGAAAATATTTTATACAATTTTTTACTTGATTAATATTAATTTGTAAATTATTTTATTTCTTGATTTTAAAAATTTTATAATAAAAATATTATTTGGAAATTTTCTCAAATAGCATTTTTTAAGTTTTTGTCACAAAAGAGTCTTCAAGGAAGACAATGACCAAAAAAAGTTTCACTAAAGAGGCAAAAACTTTTATGTCTATTCAGAAAATATTAATTTATTTTCGTCATTTTCTATTTTAAATATATAAATAATAAATAAATAAAATAAAATAATTTTTTTTCCTTTCTTTTATAAATTTGAAAATGCTTTTTTAAACTATTTTTCAAATTTTTATTTTCAGTTTTTAATATTTATTATTTTAATTTTGAATATTTTAAATGCTACCCCTTAACTATAAACAAGAAAATGAGGGGTATACGAGTATATTTGCCATTCAATAAAACTTTTTTTGCTCATTTTCTAGATTGAAATTTCCTTTTCTGAAAATAAAATAAAAAAGGTTATCTTAGGAAATTTCTCAATATTATTTGGAGATAACAACAAAAATATATATAAATTATCCAATTTTGATAAGTTTACTATATTAATTTATAATTAATTATCTAATATGACATATAAATTTAAACGATATTATATATATATATATATATGTTATATATATAACAGTTTATTGAGTATATCACATTGACTTTAGTCATGACTTTAGTCATCTATACCATTAAAACAGAAGACCCTTTTTTCAGGCGCCCTTCTGTTTCAACAATATTTACAGAACAATGCCACTACATAATTTTTTAAGCTATGCTTTGTATTAAAGCGGTTTTACCCGATGCAAGTGGGTTTGACCCGATAGAATATTCTAAAACAATACTTTTTATTTAATTCTGTTTTCTGTTTTTCTTTTATTTATGCAGCAAAAATCACACATTTAATTAATATAACTCTTTTCATTTATTTATATATGCTTTCGAGATAACATTGCCTATATATTTGCATGATATAACACATATATATTTGTCATGTACGTTTTGAATCAAACACATCCTTCCATCCATATTACGAAATAAATGTGCATATGATTATATCAATTAATGTACATACAAACATTACTATCTCATTAAAATGATGAATCGACGTATATGTTTAGTAATACATAATTACGAGTAATCCTCTGCATATTTTGTTTTATTTATGCTTATTCTTTAGAATATACTGATTGTAGCATTTCGAATAAATTTTTTCTACGATTATGATATCGCAACCGATTCCGAACCATAACGAATTTAACAAATTTGTTTTGTAAGTCGAAATTTTTTTCTTAAATAAAAAAATATCCTTCTTAGCATAAAATTCTGTTTGTGCAATCTTAACTAAAGTTGTAATCTATTCATAGAATAATCAAATCAATAATTATATATATATATATATATATATAATTAAATAAATAAATAAAAACTAAACTTTACTCAAATAAACTAAAATCTCGGTAAGTTGTTAAATTAAAAAACAAATATAGTAGATTGTAAATAGCTGAGCAATCTAAGTATTATCATATATTTAAAATATCAGTAACAACCAATCATAACATAAAAATCGCAGCATTTAGTAACTTAAATTTATATAATTAAAACAATAAAATCTAATCTACCATATTTTGAATAAACTTGATCCGCAAGATCACAAAACACACGGCTAATTTCAACACATACAGTTTATAATGAATTTAGATTTTAACGCATACAGTTTATAATGATTTAACAAATTCCATTAACACACATTAACTGAATTTCAAGGTTTTAAATATAATTTAGCAGATCAAACTGGTATTCATTAGAAATATATTATTCTTATCTACAACTAACTACTAACGTGAATCTATAACAAATCTATTGTTGTTACCATATATTCTATAATAAATACTTAACAATAATATCTTAGTATTTAACTTAGTTTCAAAAGGTAATAAACTTTAACACCGTAAATTGTGTTGCAAGCTAAACAAAATATCATCTTCAACTCATTATATAAAGGTATTTTCATTTCAATAATCGACACATCCGCTTTTCGTTTTCATAGCTTTTTTGTTCTTTTTTTCAACAAATTATAGTTCTAATTTAAACCTCATGCTTGTGATTTTATACAAGTCTAACAGAGACTGGGATAATGGCTACAATCAAAAGAGATTCATGACTTATATGTGAATTTTTTGTGTTAGTTATTTGTTTGCCTAATTGTTTGCTTAATTTAATTGTGTTATCATGTTAATTTAAATTTCATGTTTGATGGTAACCACATTGACATAGTGATGTGTGTCCGTCCAGATAACAGGAATCGAAGGAGGTTATAGCTCATACAAGAAATAAAAAGTTTAAAGAATGGAAGCGATGTAATTGATCACCTC